GAATCGGATTCGTAAGCGCAAAACGATTGATCGTCCATTGAACATTTCACTTTGACATACAAGTCGATTACCACATATTTTTTTGCCTTTCGAACCGCACATGAGATACTACGGAGCACCTCATCAACGGTCGGATCATCGCAATATGACAGGTTTGTATTTGGTAGTAGCACAGCAGTATTTTGGCGGTTGAAAATGACTTCCGGCAACACCACAATATCCACTCCATCCAATTCACTCGATTCGATGATGTCGATGGCCTGTTTTGTAAGCTTAGCCACACCACTAATGGTGTTGCCAGTGGACACAGGATTTATTTCGACCACTGCTGCTGTGTAAGTTGCTGGCTGTAATGAGAAGAGATCGTTTGTGGAAAAGAAAGGAACGAAAAATTATGAAAAAAATGTAGCAGTTTTTTTATAATGAATACGATATGATTTGAAGGAGTTGCGAAATGATGTGCTATGTAACCATGTATAATACGGTCCATTTTTTTTATTTCTGAAAGAATCACTTAAATCCTATTCAACTCCATTTGAATGGTCAAGAATCTCACCTCTTCACTTTGGCAGACATTTATGAAAATGACATAAATTAACACCAGACATTTCGAAGACATTTCGAAGACATTTCTTCACACTTTTAGAATAGAATTTTTGTTGGCGGTTCTTTTTTATTCACTAAAACTTGCTCGAATTTTTAAATGAAGTCGAATGTTTAGCTTCTCATTTCAAGCTACAAATATTTCTTGAAAAATCAGAATAAAAAATCACTTCTGTCCTATAGCACTGTTTCCTAAATACTGAAGAGTAATATTCGGTCTACTAAATGTGAATGCCATGCCAAGGTAATACTTTATAAAGGGCAGACGAGCATAGGAGTCCGATTATTTATTCTTATCATGAGCGTAATGTGTAGGACTTTGTGTGTGTGTCAGTCACCTGTTATGGCGATCACGAAAAAACACAAAAAAAGTACCATTATACCACGCGTTGCCCCTTCAAAGGTGAATCGTTCGATGTCTTTCGACATCACATTCGAAGAGATATGAGCAATTGAGCATTCGTCTTACGAATATGTGTTTGTAACATATGAGAATGAATATCAGTGTGCTTGAATTAGTAAATAGACTGAAGTGATTCTTATAAAAGCGACGACTAATATACACGCGCACTGATAGTCATTCTCTTTGTCACATATTCGCAAGACGAAAAGATAACCTTACTGATGTGATTTCATGGTACTGTCACGCTTGGGAACGCAACGTGTGATTCTCTCAATTGATAAGCATCGCACACAAACAAGTATGTGAATTTGCCACCTACTTTAAGTCAAAATTTAAAAAAAAACCATATAAAATCCCAATTTTTTCAATATCTTCTTTATTTTTTAATTTGGTAATAGAGTCTTTTAGACGATTTTGTCATTTTTCCAGAAAACTCGTATTTAGACGATTTTGTTATTTTAAAACCCGATTTTGTTAAGAAAAAAATTGTCACATTTTTGGATGATTTTGTCATTAAAAAAAAAATTTAAACGAATTTGTTAAGAAAAGGGACCATTTCCTTTAGACGAAATTGTCATTTTTTTTAGACGATTTTGTTTTATTTCTAGACGTTTTTGTAAGCAGCCTATTATCAAATGGAACTGAAGAAAAATTATACGAAATAAAATAAAAATTCAAATACATTCACCTATATAAACACATGACGACCTCTGAAGCAATGCAGTCATAGCAGTGACAGTTTGATCGAAAGTGGAATAAATGACCACCGCTTTACACTAGATGTCATCATATGTTATATGCGAGCGTTTTTGAATTTGTTTTTTCTTCAGTTTCATCTGATAATAAGGACTTAGTTTATTGAATATTTGTTTATATTTTATTTAAATTTGTTCATGCACGGAAGAGTAATTTTTTTCTTCACTTAAACTCGTTTATTCTCCCAATTTTGAGTGAAAAATAACATAACGGTTGTTTTGACGCTTATGCGTACACATTCTAGTGGTAATTTTCAGCATATCATATATCCTAATGTACTTAGTTCGATTTTCCAACATATTTGACATTTTTCATCCGCAAACTAAATGTGAGTTTTACTCTGCTTAGAGTTTCTTTCTGAGAAAGTTTAGTTGAGACCTGAATAATCGATTCTATTCTTGGTATTTAGAAAAATATTGTAATGAAAAATTGCGATTATAATTATATAAAAATATTCCTAGTGTTTTTCAGTACAAAATAATGATACAAAAATAGTTCTATCAATGATTTACATAATGACTGTATCTCATCCAAATAATGCTTGAAAAAACGCAAAATGTGATTATGATGAAACTCTTGCCAGATTCTGCGCCGTTTGTGATCATATCCTTGTCATAGTCTCGTGAGAAAATGGCAAACGTTAGCAGATTTGACTTTGGCACATTCAAATTCAGCTCGACCGCATAATGTTCTTTTAATTCGGATCTGGAATGAAAATGATGGAATTTTAGTCAAAACTTTTATTTCAAAACCTTTTCATAAAAAACTGATAAATAATTCCTAGCAAAAGTGCAAAGGAATAATTTGATCCGATGTTTGGATGAAAAAAAAAAATAATTTTGATAAAAGAAATTACTTGAAAATGACAAATTTTGCAGAAAAACACTCATAACCAAATGAAAATGTCGCCGAAAATAACAAACCAGATTTATCGGTATAATCAATCCGTTTGCGTAGATAATAGAATGGTTTTGTCACACACACCCTTCGAACACCGTTATCGATTATTGTGAAAAAGGAGCATTTTTCTTTATCAAACAAGGAAAAAACTGAATGCGATAAGATCAGTTGTAAATTTTGAAGATAGTTTGATTTTGTTGAAACTCTTGATTCGAAAACGGTTCGCTTGATGTTTAAAATTGGTTTGGAAATTCAATTTTGAGAGAATGTGATTGATATGCTCTTCCGCACACAAAACGAATATACTTCGTCTTTAGCTCAATTGAAAAAACGTTCTTACATTTTGTACTCAAACTCCGTTACTTTGAGCGGCAGCAAGTCTGCGGTCAATGTGTTCGGCATGACTTTCATGCGAGTGACTGGAAGCACCGTTTTCAGCAACAATTTTATGAAATTGTATCGATTGTGCACTTGTGACGGTGATGTTCGAATTCCACAGGAACTCTTCGTGTTCATCTCAGTACAGGCGATTAAGCTGCACATCTCTTGGCCGGTGAGCAAGTTTTTGATTGGGTTGTGGTAACGATGCCCACTGAAAACCGATATTGCATATGAATATGATGACTGAAATTGAAAAAATAAATCGATCACTAATGTTATTCTTTGAAGACAAACGAAGCGCAACATTCTTTTGACAACAATTTTTCGGATTAACAAAAAACGAACAAAAATGAAGTCGCTTCAACCCATCCTTTTTCAAATATCAATAGAACTGTTGTGTTTGAATAAATAAAAATTAGACTTTCTCTTCACCTTCCCATCCAATTCGCCATTGTCGCTGACTTCGATGTTGTAATCACAGCAAATGGCTTTATTGCACACTGTTCCGCTCTGTTTGAGACTTTCGGAGAAGTTCAAAAATGTAACAGTAAACTCGATTAGATTTTCTTGCTTGAGATTCATTTCAAACGGTACATCTCCGGGTTGAATATTACTATTAGAGAAGTTCAAGGAATTTTCAACAAAATTGCCAAAATTAATTTCATCCGAGTCGGTTTCTAGCTGCAAAAATGATCGTGAAAGACGATTCCCTTCCGTTGCTTTATCGATTTTTGATGAGTAATGTTCAGCTGGCAGTGGATCAATGGGAATCTTTGCTATAAGAATTTGAGTTGCCGGTGATTCGCTGACGATTACTTGCAACGCACCCGATCGTCCACCGTAGATTCCACTGCCCGAACATTTTATGCTGGGCGCATTCACATTTGCTGCCAATAGATTTACATTGTTTGCATACGCCCAACTCTGCTGGTATTGAACGGCTAAAAGAAACAAATAATTGAATCTCGAGGCTAGAAATCAGAAAAGCCCACCACAATCCGTCGCTCACCTGTCAAATACGGAATTTCCGAGTACCATTTCGTTGGATAAACAAAGTGTTTGACGCCTTGGTCGACTAAATTAATGGCCGGTTCATCGAAAAACAGATCAAAGCAAACGCACACACCGAATGTTACATTGAAATCAGTTTTAAACGTTGTCATATCGGGCGTTTGAGTCTGTTGCGCCCCGTATTCGCCGAACAAATGATACTTTCGATACCTTGAGATGAATTTATTTCGATAAAAATTTATTTTTAGATCAATAATTCATTGTGCTACTCCACTTACTTCGTAACCACATCACCGTTGCGGTCAAAGACAATGGCCATGTTGTAGAGGTTCGTGGAATCGGATTCGTAAGCGCAAAACGATTGATCGTCCATTGAACATTTCACTTTGACATACAAGTCAATTACCACATATTTTTTTGCTTTTCGAACCGCACAGGAGACACTTCGGAGCACCTCATCAACGGTCGGATCATCGCAATATGACAGGTTTGTATTTGGTAGTAGCACAGCAGTATTTTGACGGTTGAAAAGGACTTCTGGCAACACCACAATATCCACTCCATCCAATACACTCGATTCAATGATGTCGATGGCTTGTTTTGTGAGCTTAGCCACACTCTTGCTTGTGTTACCATCGGACACAGGATTTATTTCGACTACCGCTGCTGTGTATGTTGCTGACTGTAATGAGAAGAGATCGTTTGTGGAAATGAGAGGAAGAAAATTTTTGAAGAATTTCAATGGAAATTATCTCTTGGAAACAAGTCTCTCGACAACCGATTGTGTGCCATAAAGAACATTATACTCTAGTATAAGAGCATCACTACATCAGTTGGTTATGAGCCGTAATAAAAGTCTCTTGTTTACATTTTGATCATGACATTGCCTAATGGCAAATAAATATTCGCCCAGGTGAAAATCTGTTTTAACCATAAAATTGTGTATAAGTCAGCGGGAACACGTCAATCGCATTGTAAAATGAGATCCATTTGATTTGCTTGATAAGCATCGCATTGAAACGGGAATCATGTTGAAATTTAGATTGATTAATCACAATTTTTATCACTTTCAACATTTTGTCGCCAAATCGAAGTATAATTCTAGCGTATATGTATGTGAAAAGTGCGCATTTAAAATCGAAAATGAAGTGTTAAAATGCAAAATACACCAAATACACTAATAACTTGTAATAACGCGACCCCGAACTTTGAATTTTCTCGAAGCTTTGATCTCACCTGTTCACTTCGGCAGCTATTTATAAAAATGACGCAAATTATCACCACAAATTTCGAAAACATTTCTTCACACTTGCAGAATACAACTTATGTTGAAAGATAGTTTTTGTGAAGAAAAACTGAAAAACAGAGCTTTTTGTTCGAATCTTATTATGAATTGACAAATTGGGCTGTTTTTTTCTCTCTCTCTCTTTGATGTCTCTAGCCTCTAACGAATTTCTAAACGAAATCGAATGTTCCGCTTCTTATACGAAGCTACAAATATCTCTTGAACTCAATACAGCGTGTTATATAAAATGAAATTGGATTTGTATCAGAATCAAAAATCACTTCTGTCCTATAGCTACTGCCTTCTAACTGCTTGAGCACAATAGCTGGTTTACCAAATGTGAATGTCATGCAAAGCATTACGATATGAACTAGGATATGAAGAGTAGACGAGAAAAGGAGTCCGTATATGAGCAAAAACACGAAAATCGGGAATGGTTAGAAATTTTTTTTTATTCAAATATCGCGGTACTGTGGTCTTTTTTCTTTAAAAGTGATCCTAAAGTATCGGCCAATACCATTTTCATATGAATGTAGACGTTTATAGTGGCCCATTTCAACGTAGTTGTGCTTGTGCCTCGTTTTGTGTCAAAATGAGCGAAAATACACAACCGAACAAAAAGTCAATTTAAATATATAATTTTCGTTATCATTGCTATTATTCAATTTTATTTATTAGATTACGATGTAATCGTGCTATTTTGGCCAAATTTTGCAATGAATACATCTTATTCATGTGCATTTGAAGGCTCTGAAAGGTGCCGCAAATTGGAATGTAACCTTCCAGTCTAAAATTCCCGAAAGTTTTTTTTTCATGTATACCTTTATCAAGAATAATGACGCTATATTAGTTTTTTTTAAAGAACTTTCTGCCTATTTTCTGGAAAATAAAAAATATTAGTTACTTTATTAGACTAAAACACTTATACGAGCCTTCAGACATGTGTAACGAGCCAGTCTTTGTTACATTGAAAAAATCGAGATCATTTGATGACAGGTTTTTTCTTTGTAAACCAATCCAGAACTGAACACCACAAAGAATGATAACACTTCTATTCTTTTTCTACAAATTTGAATCAATTTCGAGTGTATTATTGCATTTATTTCAACCGTCGATGTACTTTGTAACGATCCAGTCTTTTATGTGTAACCTTCCAGTCCTTTTTTTGATCAGAGAAATCGGAATCGTTTATGACAAATTTCTATTACAAATCGATTCGAAACCAAAAATCATGATAAATTCTCGTATTTCTATTTGTTATCGACTGATTTGAATCTAATTTGAATTTGATATTTGGTTTATTTAGCCCGAGGAATTTTGTGTAACGAGGCAGTCTTTTTTCTGTAACCTTCCAGTCCATATATTTTGGATCGTAGAGCGACCTGAATTGATTTTTATGGTGTAAATATGGTTTCGTTCGTTTCTTTGATCCTTCAGACAGCGAACAGAACCTTGGAGTACAAGGATGCTCTGCTGGAGGAACTGGATTTTAGATATATGTAAGATAAACTCCAAACATATCGCCAAAATTGTAACCTTCCAGTCCAACAAAAAAACGGCTATATCTCTATAGGTGTGAGAGATATGGGAAAGGTTTGTTGGTATGAAATGTTCCTTTTGTGGTCTAGATTTGCCTTAGCATAATACTTCAAGTGGTTTCTGGGTTTACAGAAGAGATATAAGCATGAATATTTTGAAAAATCGTGCGAATGTAACCTTCCAGTCTGTGTTTTTGCCCATATATATCCATATCGTGGACTTAATGTATACACATTTGAATTTGTGTCAGTCAGCCGTTATTACGATCGCAAAAACAAAACACAACAAATTTATCAATATACCACGCGTTGTCTCTCCAAGTACGACAGTACATCGAACACTTCGATGTCACATCCAAAGAGATGTGAGCGTTCGTTTCACTAGTATGTGTTTGTCACATATGAGAATGAATAAGAGTGTGCTTGAATTAGTGCATAGTGTTAAGTGATGTTTATAAAAGCAGCGTCTAACCTGCACACCCGGATATTTTTTCTCTTTTATTTTTTTATGACCTAAAACAGGCAATTTCACAATAATCGCTTATCTTTAATTGCTTTCACATATTTGTTTCATTATTATTGAAATTTTTAAATGATGTGATATGTAAGTTATCTTCTGTTCAGTTCAACTGAGAAAATAAGAAAAATCGAAAATGAACAATTCAAATGAATCTAGATTATTTTATTCCAAAAAAAAAAATTCATAAAAAAATAATATCAAAATAGTTTTATTAATGATTGACGTTATGGTTATATCTCATCCAAATAATGCTTAACAAAACGCATAATGTGATTATAGGTGTCATCTTGGTAGATTCTGCGCCATTTGTAATAATATCCTTGGCATAATCTCGTGAGAAAATGGCAAATGTCAGCAGATTTGACTTTGGTACATTCAAATTAAGCTCGACCCAAACATGATGATCTTTTTTATCTTCGGATCTGGAATGAAAATAATGGAATTTTAGTCAAGCTTGAAAATTTCGTGCAAATTAGAAAAAAAGCAATCAATATTCCTTATTGAGCGTAATTAACCATTTGAAAATGTTGCCAACAAACAAATTACCCGAGATTTATTGGCAATCTTTCATAGCAATTTGAAATGATGTTATCGGCTATTGTAAAACTGTTACGATTTCCTTTATCAAATAGGTACGATGATATGGATGCGATAAGATTTGTAGTGATTTTTGAACATTGTTCGATTTTTGCGAATTAATGACTTGAAAACAGGTTGGTGACTGGTGTAAAAAAACAAAACTTACATTTTGAAATCAAATTCATTTGGCTTGAGTGATAGCAGGTCTGCGCTCAATGTGTTTGGCATGACTTTCATGCGAGTGACTGGAAGCACCGTTTTCAGCAACAATTTTGTGAAATTGTATCGATTGTGCACTCGTGACGGTGATATTCGAGTTCCACAAGATTTCTTCATGTTCATCTCAGGACAAGCGATCAAACTGCACACTTCTTGGCCGGTGAGCACATTTTTGACGGCTTTATAGTGACGATGTCCACTGAATACCGATATCGCATAGGAATATGTTGACTGAAATGAAAAAAAGTCGATGAACAATTATTCAAAGACAACATTCATTTGGCACTCTCTTTTTGGTTAAAAGCTAATTCAAAGTGGATCTAACTCGATTCTCCCATCAAAGACCATAATAATCAAAAAACTATGAATAACATTAGAAGAAAGTTTTTCTTCACCTTTCCATCCAATTCGCCATTGTCGCTTACTTCGATGTTGTAATCACAGCAAATGGCTTTGTTGCACACTTTTCCGCTTTGTTTGAGATTTTCGGAGAAGTCCAAAAACGTAACGCTGTACTCAGTTAGATCATCTTGGAAGAGTATCATTTCACTACTTTCATTCGAGTCGGTGTTTGGATTTGAATTTGACTGTGCCTCGAGACGGTTTCCTTCAGCTGGATCAATGGGAATCTTTGCTACAAGAATTTTAGTTGCTGGTGATTCGCTGACAATTATTTGCAACGCACCCGATCGTCCACCGTAGATTCCACTGCCCGAATACATCATGCTGGGTGCATTCACATTTGCTGCCAGTAAATTTACATTGTTCGCATACGCCCAACTTTGCTGATATTGGACGGCTAAAAGGGAAAAAACAAGAAAATTTGATTCTCAAAATAAAAATAAAAAAAATCCCACCACAATCCGTCTCTCACCTGTCAAATACGGAATTTCCGAGAACCACTTTGTCGGAAAAACAAAGTGTTTGACTCCTTGATCGACTAAACTGTTGGCTGGTTTGTCAAACATTAGATCAAAGCAAACGCACACACCAAATGTTACATTGAAATCGGTTCTAAATGTTGTCATATCGGGCGTTTGCGTGTGTTGCACTCCGCGTCCGTTGAATAAATTATACTTTCTATACCTTGAGATGAATTTATTTCGGTAAATTGGTATTTTTATAATTCATTGTGCTACTTCACTTACTTTGCAACCACATCACCGTTGCGGTCAAAGACAATGGCCATGTTGTAGAGGTTCGTGGAATCGGATTCGTAAGCGCAAAACGATTGATCGTCCATTGAACATTTCACTTTGACATACAAGCCGATTACCACATATTTTTTTGCTTTTCGAACCGCACAAGAGACACTTCGGAGCACCTCATCAACGGTCGGATCATCGCAGTACGAAAGGTTTGTATTCGGTAGTAGCACAGCAGTATTTTTATCATTGAAAAGTATTTCCGGCAAAACTACAATATCGACTCCATCCAATTCACTCGATTCAATGATGTCAATGGCCTGTTTTGTAAGCTTAGCTACACCCTCAGTTGTATTTCCATCGCACACTGGATTTATTTCGACCACTGCTCCTGTGTAGGTTGCAACCTGCAATGGAAGAGATCATTTTTCGTAATGAGAGAAGGAATTTTTTGTGACAAGATTTAGTCGATTTTATGACGAAAACGATTTGATTTGAAGAAGCGGCGAATATTCATGTGTAACCATGATTAATACGATCCATTTTATTTCCAAAGAATCAGCATTTAACTCATACATTTATACATTTTTTTTGCTTGAATATTATTCAACTCTTTTTTAAATGGTCAATAATCTCACCTCTTCACTTCGGCAGCCATTTATCAAAATGAGACAAATTACCACCAGAAATTTCGAAAACATTTTTTCACACTTGCAGTTGAACCTTTGTTGGAAGTTTGTCTTTCTTCACTAAAACAGAACGTTTTGTTCGATTATGAATTGCAAATAACAATTGTTCTTCGACGATCCGATGGAAATAATTTCGGTTTAACTACCCACAGAGAAGCGCACCATAAGATGTTATTGTCACAATAACATAACGAGTGGTGTGTCTATTCGTAATGCTCAATTTTATGTTACAAAATATCGCTGATAACATTTGATGCTGTCGTTTTTACAAT